TTAGGCTGCTAACTGAAAGGTCAGCAGGTGGAAACCACCAGCCACTCTGAGGGAGAAAGACAAGGCTTTCTATTCCAACAAAGAATTAATTTGTAAACCTATAGAGGCAGTTCTACCTGTCCTACAGGGCCACTATGAGTCAGCATCAATTCAACGGTAATGAGGTGTTTTTGGTAATATAATCCAGGCTTCCTATTAAGCGCTTTATACTTATAAATCTGATGTAAGATTATTATCCTCATTTTTGGGAGAAAGATGAGATTTTCTAGTCCTGTAAAGGGTTACAGTCTTGGCAGCCCCTTACAGAAGGGTCACAAGGAAGAGATGACCCAGTCAGGGTGCAAAATAGTACCATTAAAACATACAACTTTCCTCTAGTTCTTTAATGCTTCTCGCCCCACCCCACTATCATGATCCCAATTATACCTTACAAATCTGGATAGACCAGAGGATGTACACGGGTACAGATAAGAGCTGGAAACACAGGGAATCCAGGACAGATAAACCCCTTAAGACCAATACTGAGAGTAGTGATACCAGGAGGGGAAGAGGAAGGTAGGGGGAGAATGGGGGAACCAATCACAATAATATACATTTAACCCTCTCCCAGGGGGATAGACAACAGAAAAGTGGGTGAAGGGAGACATCGGTCAGTGTAAGACATGAAAAAATAAGAATTTATAAATTATAAAGGTTTCATGAGGGAGGGAAAAAATGAGCTGATACCAAGGGCTCAAGTTGAAAGAAAATGTTTTGAAGATAATGGCAACGTATGTACAAATGTGCTTGACACAATGGATGTATGAATGGATTGCGATTAAGAGGTGTATGAGCCTCTAATAAAATGATTAAACCCCACAGACACACTCCCACCCTGTTCTACGGGGTGGGCTGAGTCAGAATGGACTCGATGGCACCGACATTTTGTTGGTGTTTTTTTTTTTTTGAGAGTTATCCTCATTTTTTACAGATTAGAAAACTGAGGCTTAGAAAGGTTAAATGGTTTGCCTAAAATTATTTAACTTACAAGCAATTCTGAAGGCAGAAAGGTTACAGAGGGTAGAATGAGTATTATTTTGGGAGCTTTTCTTTTTCTTTTTTAATCATTCATGTCAAGTGATTCCCTTTTTCATAAAAATATAGCCCTGCCTCATGTTTACAAACTGATTTTCTGCTTTTTACTTTATGGATTGCCAAGAAGTGTTTGTGGACTTGACACAGCAATAAGATTAGAGGGCAATGTATTTCTGGGCTCCATTATATACACACAACAGTATGTCCTGCTTGTGACCCTATATAATTCACATAATTTTTCTAGGTCTTAATTTCCCGATCATAAGGTAATTATCAAACACAATACATGCAACTCCTTACTTTGGCAGTTCAGCTATGTAAACAACCTCAATCATCTCCACAGTCTCTCAGTTGCTGAACCAAAACCTACAATTTACTTGTATTTTTGTCAAATTTTTCTTCATTCAATAATTTCACTTGAGTAATACTAAAAGTTCAATTAGATAGTCTAGAACTTCATGCTATGCCGATTAAATTACCCCCCTAATTTTTTAGTAAATATTCTGGTCCAGCAGCTCTCGTGCAGTATCCAGCTTTCCCTAGACTTCACAGAACAAACATCAGTGCCCTGAGACATGGGTATACAGATGCCAGGTACAAATCAACAAACCAAATAAACTATGTATGTGGAGTTTTAAAAATATTCATAGAAAAATTCCATTATTTTAAAATTACATTTTCCCACAAACATTTTGAAACTCTTATATGTCCATTTCTCAGATTCAACAGGTTTCTACTGTTCTAAATTGTACAATATAGGCACTATAAAGTTTTAAGTCTAGACAATATTGAAATAAATATTCTCAATTACTCCCTAGAAATTAATAGCAGAGTGACACCCCTCCCCCCACAGACCTCCAGCACTGTTCCCTGGACTCCCTGTAAACAGCATGCAGCCGCCCTACCCTAACTGAGTTGTTTCCCAACCCAGTTGGTTCTAGACGTGTGGAGACTGATCAGCAGCATCAACATCACTGGGACTTGTTAGAAGTGCAGTCTTGCCTCACCCCAAACCTCACGGCCATCAAGTCCATGCCAACTCATATAGAACCTAGAGCCGTGGTTCTCAACCTTCCTAATGCCGCGACCCTTTAATACAGTTCCTCATGTTGTGGTGACCCCCAACCATAACATTATTTTCATTGCTACTTCATAAATGTAATTTTGCTACTGCTATGAATCATAATGTAAATATCTGATATGCAGGATGTATTTTCATTGTTACAAATTGAACATAATTAAGGCATAGTGATTAACCACAAAACAATATGTAATTGTATATTGTGAAATACTGATGTTTTTCCAATGGTCTTAGGCGACCCCTGTAAAAGGGTCATTCGAACCGCTGCCCTTGAGGACAGGGTAGAACTGCTCCTGTGAGTTTCTGGAGTATAATTCTTTACAGAAGTATAAAGCCTCTTCTTCCTCCCAAGGAGTGGCTGGGGGTTTGGAACTGTGGGCTTTGTGATTAAGAGCCCAATATGTAACTACAACACCACCAGGGCTCTTACCTCATGTAAATTATAGAAACGACAGAAAGACTGACAAATCAAGGTTAGAGAAGCATTTCCTAAATTTTAGTTTACTTCAAAATCACTGATACAACAGCTAAATCAGAAATGACAGTAGTCGGCCTAGCAATCTGGGTTTGAATAAGCTCTCCAGGTGATTCTGAACCTTGATTTGTCAGTCTCTCTGTAGTTTCTCTAGTTTCCTTATCTATTTCAAGGGGAAGGAGGTCTTGGTGGCACATCAGTTAAGTACTTGGCTGCCAATCAAAGTGTAAGCAGTTCCAACCATTCAGCAGATCCAAGGAAAAAAGGCAGTGTTCTGCTTCCGTAAAGATTATAGCCTACAGAAACCTTTGGGGGCAATTCTACTCTGCCATATAAGATCACTATGAGTTAGAATTAACTCAATAGCTCTAACCTTTAGTTTAAGATTGTTGCCTCTGTATGATATGTTTTCCTAAATTTGCACGTGAGACTGTAAAACTAGTGGACAGGAAGATATCACAATACTAGCTTTAAACTGCAGTATTACATTTAAATATAAAATAAAATATGATCCTTATTTCTTTTATCAGAGAAATTTTTAAAGCATAAATTATTTTTGTTTGTGTAGTTGAAGAAATACAATGTACAATAAATATTCCACTGACTAATAAGTGTGAAAATAACAAAATATTTTAAAATATGCTTTGAAACATTAATTCATTATTTTTTGATACTATGTAGAAGTTAATAATAGCTTCAGCCCTTAGGTCACCTCTTATCTCATTAGAAATTTATTTTCAGAGACTGTAATAACTTTATTACGATAGAACAAAAAAACTACAAAGCATCTGTGCTTTAAACCTGTTTTAGATAAGAAAAGGAGAGGTTGCATAGCATAGTAATTTGCATTTTATTATCAAGTTTTAGTTTCTTCCTGGCTTTCTAAAACTAACAGTTTGGTTCGATTCCAAGTCAGCAAAGAATTCATATTCACATGGATCAGATGCTTCATAGTAATTTAGCCATTGCATTCCTATAAACAACGGCTACTTGTCTTCCCAACAATGGCAACACCACACTAGATTAAGGATGTCCGATAAGCAATCAAGAGGTACATGACTAGGTCTTCCTCATAGTAGTTCTGACTAACAAATCTTGAACAGAAAAAGGGTTCTCTTATACCAAAATTCAAGGCAGGAGAGCTTATCACATTTAGTTTTTTATATAAAAAATATCTGTGTGGTAGAAGAAATTTAAAGTACAATGTATATTCCATTGCCCATCAAGTGTGAAAATAACTAAAAGTATGAAAACGCTATTTCTCATAGCATGCTATTCATTTAAAGTCATTTTGTGCCTCTTGAAAACAGAAAAGTTGGTCCCTGAAACACAACTGTGATTTACTTAAAAGAAGAACAGTCATCTACAGCAGAGGATGCTGTGCAGGGTACTGTGCAGAGAAATTTCTAAGTTCGTTCAATATTCAAAAATAATAAAGTTCTCTACTTTATTAGATTTTACTTGTTTTCTCCTACATGGATTTTTCATTTTGAAGCCACCTTGTATTTCCCTGACATTTCAAATGAGCTACCGATAGAAGCAGGAATCATTTTACTCTGCTGATGACTAATGCTATATATATGCAGTGGTTGAATCAGTTGCAATGAGCAGGAATTTAAGAAAGACCTAAAATAAAGCCTGCCAAGGTTATTTACTAACGCTCTGGTTTGTATACCCAACTAGAGCTGTGAACACTTTGACACAGCTCTATAGACTCACTGTAGAGTGAGTGTAAAGGGTGTTGCCAGGCAACTCAATCTAAGTTTGGAAGAATCTAAGCATTGATAATGAGCTGGCCTCAGTTTGGCTCCCACACAAGAAGGGTTTTGGTGAACTCCCACATCTGCTTACAGGCCATTCATGAGGAGAGGTATTTCTAAAAGTCAGTATCCAGGAGTCCAGTGTAAGCTCAAGAAGATGTAATGTTTCTTTTCTAGTTCAAATTTCCTATTTCTAGCAATACAACTATTTTCTCTAACTTTTATAAAAAATGAAAAAACGGAATATGTGAAAGTCCTGTGGTCCATGAACACTCTTATTCATTTCTTTGAAATTCTTGTTTATAAATCGTTAAAGCAAATTTTAATGCAAGTCCAATTCACTAAAATAAGCCCAAAAACTCACCAAAATTTATTCAAATTCTTTTGAAAATAATCTTTGACACTATTTCAATACTCGTTATTATATTGATAAACAAAAAGTATGCTCAGTTTAAAGAAAAATATGTGCTAATAAAGGAAAATACGCAATCAGTTGTAAAAGGTCACTGATTTGTTTTTATGAGAAGCATACATGCGAAATACTGTTTTGCTGGATGGGCCCGAATGAATCCTCCCTCTTTCAAAGCAGACACTTTGCATGCATGCTTACCAGGGCAGTATGCATCCACGTCCAGTTTCTGAGCTGAAGAGAGGGTTGGTGAGCCAAGCTCTGACTCTGGAATTCGTGGGCTCTCAACAAACTTTGCCTTCCTCAGAGGGGCTAAGGATAAAAAAAGGAACAGAGAGGAAAGGAAGAGAGAAAGAGTAAAGAGAAACAGAAGGAAAGAGAGGGAAAAGGGAAAGAGAGAAACATAGAGGGGTCATGAGTAAGGGGAACAGCAGGCAACAGATGGAAGCACTTAACTGAACGACACACTCTGTCAGACTCGGATCAGGTTACCCTCTTTTTTTGTGCCAGAAAAAAAAATTAACTGCATTCTTCATAGAGGAGATGGGTCTTATTAAAAAGTCACTGTAAAAAGGGAAAACTAAAATGTAATATTCAAAACTAGGGCACAATTGGAGTTATCTATAACTATCTTCAGAGTTTTCTTTTGTCTTGACTTCCTTTGTTATTAAATACAAGTATTAACTAAGGAAAGTACAGGACTAAGTTTTAAGGTTTTGCTTATAAAAATGTACCCAAAGGATTTTTTAAATAACTAATAGAATAATCTGTTATGATAACTACTGTAAGTAGAATTATATGTAAATCATCATGCCTAACCCATCTAGTTTAACAAGGAACTCATCACCTTACTATTCAGCCATTAATTTAATAGCCAAGACTGCTATTGGACTAAGATATTAATGAGGGCATGCCAGTTTCATAGGAGGCACTAAAAATAAAAAAAATTAGTTAAAAATTTAATCAGGAGGTCCAAGGTCTATGCCATAAAATTTATTTCATTTTGGTAATGAAAAATATAAACTATAATTCATAAAAGTTTTACTTATTGACAGCACATATAAATTTTATGTACAGATTTTTAGGGAGAAAAGTTAGGGAACACTATTGATATGCATTAAAACAAACAACTAAATATTTAAAAGTAAAATTTATAAAGATTGCTTTGGCACTTTTCAGATAAATTTAATTAAATAAGGTGAAACTGCTTTGCACAGTCCTAGCAAAAAAGTATCAGATTGGAAAATGACTGATACACTATATGTAAGTATCATGCCAATAGGTGTCCAGGACATATAAGTGCATAAGATCACATTACATTTTACAATAGTTTCTGCATGTTATGCAAAACCCTTTCCCACTATCAACCCATAGAGGATTCTAAGTTATTCCTAAAAGACTGTAAAAAGTTATATAAAAATCACTGTGAAAAAAAAAATCACTGTGATTACAGTGGTGGAGCTCCCTCCTATTTTCTTTGGCTAATAAATAATAAAGTATTAAAATATTATAGAATATATATTTGAAATGTGCCAACATTTACAACCTACAAACAACTAAATCACACCTTTAAATAGTCTTGAGTGTGTATATAGATTTTATGTGCATGTTAGAGAAACCATATACCACAAGGGCAGTTAATATCTCTATGGAAACAAAGGCTGATGATAAGAATACATACAAGTATGGTTCTCTGACAAATGCAAGCTTTGAAATGGCAAAAATTGCACCTCTGCTAAGAATGTAATACTTGAGCTTGATTTTTTAAAGTCACTACCTTAAATGAAGATCTCAAGAAATTTATATGCTTTCTTCCAGGCTACTAATAGCCAGTCAATTATATGAGAATCTCTTTCCGGAGAGCCTTGCGAACCAATGAAACAATAATGAACTGTTTTATTTATCCTATACGGTTGCTTAGCATAATAAATTGATCATAATTTCTCAAAATTCTTAAATCCTTTACTAGAATTTTATTAAAGCATTCTCATAGTAGCACAATAACTATTATACTTGCTGCGCTCTCACAAAGACGCAGCTGTCCCCTACTCAAGGGACTAGCATATCTAAAAACTGTAGTAACTATTTTGTTTTGAAAATAGGGCTAGTACAAGGAGCAGAGATTATAGTGACTTATGGCAGGTATATAAAAAACAGGTATTATAAGAGAAATTGAGTGAGATAGGAGGGATATAAGGAGCTCTGATGCATAGGAGTTAATAAGTGCTTGGCTGCTAAGTAAAAGGTCTTTACACACACCAGCTGGTCTGCAAAGAAAAATGTGGCAATTTGCTTCCTTACAGATCACAGCCTTACAAACATTACGGAGTGGTTCTACTCTGTTATGTAGGGTTGCTGTGAATCAGAATTCACTAGGTGACAATAGGTAGCAGAAATGTAAAAGAATTATGAGATGGAGTCAAGGAGAAAAATCTCTATCCTAGAGATTTATAAGAAGGAAATAGTAGTCAAATACTATGAAGAGAGTGTGGAATATCTGGCCTGAATTAATCAGAAGTAAAAAAGATTCTGGCAGCGAGGAAAAATGGAATCTTTTACTGAAATCTATAATTGTCCAGCGAAGAAGAGAGTATTTGAGAGCTGTGAAGCTCTACGCCATGCAGACTTCACCATTTTCTGTGAGAAGGAAATTTCAAAGGAGGTTATCTTTAAAATGTATAGTAGACATTTAATTCTTCTATATACTCTCACCTTCTATCTTTATACTAGGGTGGTATATATGTCCAGTAATAAATTTAAATATAAGCTGGATGATGATGTTCCTTTATTCAAGTAACAGAAAACAAATAAAGTTACTGGTAAGCCAATCAAACACAAGATGTACAATCACAAGTATGATAGGTTGTCCAATAGTATAAGGACAATTTAGAAGACAGGCCACAATATTTTGCTTTGATATCCAAAATTTTAGTATAATTCATCATAAATAGTATGCAGATATGAATGCCGAATTATGAATATCCAATTTACCAACAATCCAGTTATGAGTCCCAGTAAATTCTACTACATATTAGAAATTTGTGGTACAGATGATTTTTAATAAGACATGAGCACTACTTTCTGACACATATGAAAATGTTATTACTTAGTCATTATGCTATTAATGTTTTAGTGCACCTAGAGGTTTCTTTAATGCTTTTATGTATACAAAGATATACTATGTACTGTATACTAAAACAAACACTTGACTTACATTACATACAAACTGTAACTGTAATGCACAAATTTAGGAATGGAACTAATTTGTAATCCAAGGACTACTGTATAAATTATAGATGTACATAAAGGTTTACATGAGAGAAGAAAAACCACTTGAGATGAGATGGGTAGGAGGGCTCTAAAAGTATAATCAAGTATTTTATTATGATAAAACAGGAAACTACAGCAGGGATCCAAGAAGTGATGTGTATAATACTGATAATCTGAGTCTTAAATATGGGAATTTGGCAGAAGTTGAGAGGAAGGATACATATTGGTTAGGGGCATGGTCTTCGTGATTTGAAAGATTTAAGTCTTGGCTCTAATACTTTGTAGTAGTAAGAAATTGAACAAATTACTTTGTTTTAGTAAGCCTCAGTTTTTCCAGAAATTCATAGGATTGTTAGGAGGCTTAATAAATTTTAAATTAGTGCCATTTTGAGGGGCCCTCGAGCCTATTCTGACTCATAGCAACCCTATGTACAACAGAACAAAATACTGCCATCTTCACAATCACTGTTACAATCGAAACCATTATTGTGTCAGTGCAACTGGCTGAGGGGCTTCCTCCACTTTTCCAAGCATAATAACCTTTTCTGGGTACCGGTCCTTCTTTATAACATGTCCAAAGTACATTAGTCAAAGTCTTGCCATCCCCCCTTCTAAGGAGCATTCTGGCTGTACTTCTTCCAAGACAGGTATTTCTTCATTCTTCTGGTAGTCCAGGCATAATTAATGTTTTTGACAGCACCCTAATTCAAAATGCATCAATTTTTCTGCAGTCTTACCTATTCATTGGCCAGCTTTCACACACACATGTAAGGTGATTGAAATGCCATGGCTTGGGCCAGGGGCACCTGAGACCTCACAGTGACTTCTTTGCTTTTGATCACCTCTAGATCTTTGGTAAAATATTTCTCCAATGCATTGTGCCATTTGATTTCTTGATTGCTGCTTCCATGAGCTTTGGTTTTTGGATCAGAGTGAAATGAAATCTTGTGCAACTTAAATCTTTTCTCCCTTCATTATGATGTGGTCCAGTTGTGGAATTTATTTCTTTCAAAAAAGGAAAAAACAACACTCCCCCTCTCCCCCAAGCATACTGCCATCGTTTATTCCAACTCATAGTGACCCTGTAGGGTAGGGTAATTTCCCTGTGAATTTCCAAGACTGTAACTCTGTACAAGAGTAGAAACCCTGTCTTTCTGCAGAGAAGCGGCTGCTGGTTTCAAACTACAGACCTTGTGAATCGCAGTTCAACATGTAAGCACGGCACCACCTGAGGGTGTCGTTTTGAACTTCACCAGTGCCTGCTTCAAGTCATCTTCACTTTCTGTATGACAGGTTGTGTCATCTGCAAACTGCTGTTAATGTCTTCTTCTAATCCAGAAACACTGTTCTTCTTTTTATTGTCTAGCTTCTCATGTGAGTGGCTCAGAATACAGATTAAATAAGTATGGTGAAAATATACGACCCGATATATGCTCATCCATGATTTTAAACCACTTAATATTCCTTTGTTCTGTTTGAAAGACTACTTCTTTGTATGTACATGTGCCACAGAAGCATGACTGTCATGAAATTTCCACTATCTGATATGTTAATAGTAACAGTTAACAGATTACTATGTAATCTGTTGTGATCCACTCGGTGGATAAAACAAGATACTGCTGTTTTATCCATAAAACACAGGCAAACATCTTTCTAGTATTTTCTCCTTTCAGTCAAGATCCATCTGATATCAGCAATGATATCCCTTACTCCATGTGCTCTTCTGAATCTGGCTTGAATTTCTTGAAGTTCCTTGTCAATGTACTGCTGCAATAGTTTTTGAATTATCTTCAACAAACTTTAGTTGCACATGTTATTAATAATATTGTCAGATAATCTCCACATTTTTCTGAATTATATTTCTTTGAAAATGGGCACAAATGTGGATCTCTATCAGTTGGTTGGTTATGTGTCAACAAATCTTGGCATAGACAACTCAGTCAGAATCAACTCAAGGACAACTAGTGATTGTAGTGTAGGTGCATAATGGGGGAACTGACAAGAAATGAGGGAAAAGGAGGAGTGGAGTTAAATGACAGAAT